AAATAATAGTCCTAAATACCTTTAGGACACGTTAAGAGAGAGCACTCATTGTCTGAATGTGTATGTTTTAGGAAAAAGGTGGAATATTTAGTGGAATATTCAAGAAAGCTCCTAAATCTGCAGAAGCTGCTCAACCTGAGGAGGTAAAAGTGTAATTTGTCAACCTTTTTCAACATTTTTAATGAAATACAACTGCCGAAAAATGATATTCCAGATGTAAGACCCCAGCAAAAATCACACCATCATCATTTTATATTTCTTTAGAGAAAATGAAATGTAAAAATTCTATTCCCAATAAAGTCGGGACTCATATTGCAATCGCAGTGTGAAGATTGAAATATTTAAGTCAACTTTATTTAGTATTCCCACATTAACATTTGCCTTTAAAACCTCTGAACACTTTTTACAGGACGAGTCTGACAGCGATCTCTTAGCCAGCACTGAGAACTTATCCGAGAACAAACAGGTCAGTGCATTAAAATCCAAGATAATTAATGGCTTTTAAACAAAACAGCAGTTTGATTTGTTATATTTTAACTACTTCAGCATTTTTTTCTCATGTGTGTCATCAGGAGAAAGGTGGGGGGTTGTTCAGTGGACTCCTCAAAAAGACTCCCAAAGCATCTGGAGAAAAGACAGAGTCACCGGTGAGTGAGTGTTTCCTAAATGTGCAGATAGTTTCTAAACCCGAAACACAATTTCACCCTCTCATTTGTCTGTTTCAGGAACAAGAGGCTCAGAAAGAGCTGTCGGCCAGTAATGACGACCTGTCTGAGAATAATGGCAAGACGGTGAGCAGTGTAATGCAACAGAAGCCTGTAGGGTAAAATATCTGTTGAAGGAACATTCAGTAACAACCAAATTATGTTTCAGGAGAAAAACATTTTTAGCAACATGTTTAAGAAGCCGCAGAAACCAGCAGAGGATGCAGCAGCAGACAAGGTATCGTGATTTGATTAGACTGATTAAACCACTTGTGAAATCTACTGTTATGGAGGATGGAGTGAATATTTGTTTTCACTGTTTTCTGGTTTGAATTCAGGAGCTGGAGGTGAACAGTGAGAAACAGTTGTCAGGTAGCACCGAGAATCTGTCTGACACCACCGCCCCAAAGGTACATCAGTCTTTAAAAATTAACCCTCTCTTTCTGTCTCACTGTGGCTGCTCTCATTATGTCAACATAAACTGAAAACTGATTGCAAACATCAGATTATATGAGATGATTTCTTTGTGTTTTTCCTATCCTGTATGTAGCTGTAGACCAATTTGCATGTGATAAAAAAAAAATTTGCTTCCATGGAGATCGCCATGTTGTACCACCATGTTTCTACAGTAGCCCAGAATGGACAAACCAAACACTGGCTCTAGATAGGGCCATTCGCTTTTTTGCATTTTTTTGCAAAACAGTGTTTTTTAATGTGAAACCGCTTTATTCTGTGTTTTTACTGGTTTACATCACCTGGCCTATTTGTTTTGGTGAGGAAGACACCTCTGCGGATAATTCGGCTCTCGGTAAAAAACTCCTGAACTATGAACAGTGAATAAGTTTCAGCTGGATGTATCTGCAGTCGTCACCACTAATTGCCACTAAATCCTACACACTGCTCCTTTAATACTCTTTGTTTTTTTAAATTCACTAACAGTGGGAGCAAATTCTGGTTCATTGTGATCTTGGGAGCAAATGAAGCTTTCAACTCTTGATTCTCTTCAATTTTTCTTTCTCTGTTTCTGAATGTTTTCATTTGAGAGAAATAACAAAAGATCTGTGTTTTAGGAGAAAAAGGGAGGCTTGGCCGGCATCCTCAAAAGATCAGCCAGCGCTGACAACCCGTTTGATGAGGTCAGTGTCCGCCCTGAACAAACACTCACAGCAGCATCCTCCCAAAAATATAATGTCTCCACAGTGTTGCCTCACACATGAGAACAATGCTCCTTTGACACAATTATGTTTGCAAAGTCATGAGTTACTCACAGAATCTACAGTGCGTTTCAAGAGTCTACGACTTAACATTTTTATGGTTGCCTGGTTGAATGTAGCCAAGTACATTTACTCAAGTACAATTTTGAGGTACTTGTTCTTTGACGCATTTCCTTTTTCTGCTACATTACACTTTTACTCCACGACATTTGAGAGGGAAATATTTTACTTTTTACATTACCTCATTTAGCTGTAGTTCTCTGGTCTGTTCAAGGTCAACATGTAAATCAGATCAGTTTAGAAAATGTTGTGCATTCTTATAAATTAAACTACATAACAGTGCATTAAGTAGTTGAAATTAACTCTGCTTCTAACATTAAAATGTTACATAAATGCATTAACAATAGTAACACTCTGAGTGGGGTCATTTTGCATATGGAGTAATTTTGTACCATAATTTTACAAAATCTAGAAAAATCTAGATTTTGATGCTAATGCTCATGTACTTTCACACAGGTAAGATTTTGAGTGCAGGACTTTTACTTGTAACCAAGAATTTTGGTACTGTGGTATTATAACTTTTAATTGAGTAAACAATCTCAGTACTTCTTTGACCACTGCTGTAAGGTAGAATGTAAATCAACTGTCCGTCTCTTTGAAACATGGTGCAATTGGAGATACCTGACAACACCATAAACACCCACCCGTTGAGTCTTTAAAGCTTTGTTTTGCACTCTTCATGAGCCAACTGAGAGGAGAAACTTTGCACTCATTTGCATTTTCACTTCTCAGGAGAAAGGTGGGCTGTTCAGTGGACTTCGCAAAAAAACACCCAGAGTGTCTGGAGAAGAGGCAGCTGCAGAGGTAAGTGCGTGACTAGTTACACTGTTAGCATCACTGTCTGAGACTGTTATTATACATATTTATTAACTGTCCATTTCTCTTCTTTGTTTCCTCAGGACAAAGACGATCAAAAGGAGCTCTCAGCAAGTAATGACAGTCTGTTTGAAAACACAAAGGTACTGTGTGGGATCAAAACAGGATCATCAGCACTATGATATATTGATAAATGTTTATTTTAATACACTTAAATGTGTGATTATACATTTATTTACACTTTTTACATTTATTCAGCTTATGCTTAAAAAATGTCAACATGTTAGTACTGTGTTTTAAATCGTACACATAACTATGACACATTCAGATACTCCTGATGTAGATTTACTGTCACTTACACAGTGTGTGTTTTATTTCAGGAGAAAAGTATTTTCAGTGGCATCTTTAAGAAGACTCATAAACCAGCAGAGGGGACTACAACAGATGAGGTGCAGTAATAACCATTTGACAGAAAAGTTTACATTATATGACATTTCAGTACTTTGCATTTGTTTTGCTGTTTTGAAATTTTTGTTTTCTGTTGGGTGCATTCAGGAATTAAACGACGATAAGAAGTTATTTGGCAGTACTGAAAATCTGTTGGAAGTAAACACATCAAAGGTACAAATGTTGTCCCACTGTCACAGTCTCAGCTTGTTCTTGATTCTGCTGTTCATTAATTTAATTTTGATATGTGATTTTTTTCATATGTTTCAGGAGAAGACTGGCGGACTGGCTGGGATCTTCAAAAAGTCTCCCAAACAAGCGCCACGCTCGATTGCTACACAGGTGACCAAATAAACTCATTTTGTTTTTGTGTTTTTTGGCGGTGATGTTTTTGATTGCTGGTTATTTAGCTCTCATTTACATTCATTTACATTTTCAAGACACTCATCTTGTGGATAACTCTTCTTCAGCAAGTTAAAACAAACCTATTTATTATTGAAGCTCCTTTCTGTTTTCCAGGATCCTTTCAGTAACATGAAGGATTTGTCTGCCAGCTGCGACAGCCTTGCAGAAAGTGATGAGGTGAGAGCTACTCTCTGTCTGTGGATGTCAGGTCAGTTTTATTTATATACCCCAGATCACAAATCCTAAATTTGCCTCAGTGGCCTTTACAATCTGTCCAGCATATGACACACTCTGTCCTTGGACCCTCGCTTTGGAGAAGAAGAAACTCCCCTCAAAAAAGCGTTATCAGGGGAAAAAATGGCAGAAACTTCAGGAAGACTACCTGAGGAGGGATCCCTCTCCATGGACAGACAGACATGCTATAGATGTTGAGTGTAGAGAGTAATACACTTGGCAGTACTAAAAGCACTAGTGCCAGTGTACATTCATGACATCTGAGAGCACCATGTTTAGGTCAAAGGCCAAAAATCTAAACAAGGGAAGGCTCTTATGAAATTTAAAATATTCAAGCCAAGCGTTTTCTTTCCATTCTCTCTATTCTTTGTCAACAAACATTTAAAATAGATCTCAATGCCATCATTTACAGTTTTACATTTACTTTCCAACATCTGAGTAGGTTTTTGACCGTGTTGAACTTGTCTACTTTAAAGTAAGTGAAGTCATGCTTTGTTTTCTGTTTGTTCTTGTATTTTTAAGGAGGATCTTTCAGCACTTGGTGAATGGTCGACCGGTAAAGATAATCTTTTAGAAGCTACAAGCGCCCAAAAGGTGAGTCTTGATGTAGAGGTATGATTCTATGTGACTGTATTTTGACGTTTTTGTGATTTACATGAATACCTCATCTTATGTTTTTTGGGGGTTTTTTGACAGGAGAAAAAAACAGGGTTTGCTGGAATATTCAGGAGGACGCCCAAAGCAATTGAACATCAGGTATAAATATTATTGGCACTGAGAGGCATGAAATGTACATATCAACATAACACCAACACTTAACTCGTACAATTAGCAGTAGTTAAACACACCTATCACACCTACAGTAGGCATCACCAGGACCACATTACCATGATGACACAAACACACACTCACAAAGTGAAGACAATATCAGTCGTCTCTACATTGTCACAGGTGCCAACAATAGACGTAATACTAGTGACAGTAGTCCCTTTAAACTTCCTGATTATGTGCTAATTATCTCTTTCATTATTTGCAGGAAAGTGAGGACATGGAGGAACCAGGAGGAGGCGGGCTGAGACGCAGGAGAACCATCAAGAAAAAAAGACGAGTGAGTTGTTGTTCACTTTTAAAAGACGTTATAGAAGGTAGCTGGAGCAAGAACCAAAGTGTATTAAGTGATATATCACAGTAGACATACCACCTTAATGGTGACAGGAGCTGAACTTTGAGATTATTTTTCTCTTTAGTTCTTTTTATCACTGACAAGCTTTTCTTTTCTTGTTTTGTTTCTCAGGTTGTGTCATTCCGAGTCAAGCAAACACTTCCCAGAATACCCAAGCTTAATCTAACTTCACAGGTATGTGCTGATCTCCTGTAACTCTTATGACTCACTTTGCTGTTTTGCACCTCGCTTCTCTTATTTAATTACATTACTGTAAGGGCATCTGAAGCTTTGTACAGATATGGATATCAACATGCAGACCATTTTCTGTTTTTCCTTTTTTTTACGTATTGTAAAAAGCTATTATAGTTATTATAAGTTATCCTGGTGTGTTTTTTTTAACTGACACATATGTTTTGTCTTCTGTGTAATTCATATTCCTTTTACTTGGTTTTCTTGTTAATGTGTGTATTAGTTCTGAGGTGAGCTTATTACTGATTTAGTGACATTAATCTTTATTTTCTTCCTCCTCAGACGCCAGACACTATGCCTATTATTGAGGAGACTGTTGAGCTACAAGAGCTGAACCCAGCACAGGTTTGCATGAAGATATTATGAAGTAGATACACAGAAAAACATTTTAGTCAAGTTCACAAATATCTAATCCAAGACTGCAACCAACCTTACATATTATATTTTATATATTATATATTTAACTGTTTTTGTGAACAGTTTATCCAGTTTATCTTGCAGCTGTGAAGTTAACTGATTTTTGGTTGACAAAAATCTGTTACAATAAATGAATTCCTTCAAGTCCAAATAAATCTGGGACAACAGAGTCTGAAGATTCAGAAAAAATGTTTAATACATGAAAATGGAAGTTGATATAAAAATCATGCAGGTCCACAAGCATGGCTGACTAAATGAAAATGTTCAAATAACTATTCAGTTATTTTGAAATCTGAAACATAACATCATGCCATGATAATTATGTAATTAGACACTTGATAAAATCTGTAAATTAAATCAGCTTAAAAGAGTAATTACAGCATGTCTTTGTTGTACTATGGATATTTTTTCAATAATGTCAATGTTAGTGTGATACGATTAAAGTGTCATTTAATTGTGTATTTTGTTTGTGAAGCACAGCCTTCCTGGTACCAGTCACCACTCTACATCTGCAGCCAGTAAAGTGGTCATGAGTTAGCATTTAGCAAGTTAATAGTAGGACATACTGCCGTACAGCACCATAAAGGCATGTTACTGTGTGTGACAGTAATTATATGGAAACAAACCCTTAGCTGTATGTCAACTCTGTACAGACTGGTGAGACTCAGTGTCTACATGATGCTGACAGACACACGGAGAAAGGTATCGACGGTAGTTCAGTCTTTCAACTGAATTTTGTCTCACAAAGTTGTGGCTATGTTGTTGTTTTTCAGGAGAGCACAGTGGAGGTCCAGCCTGTGGAGATGGTGGCTTATCCTACTGAAGGCAACCCTCTGGAGGCTGAACAGGTGTGTTTAGGGCACTGTCACACCGGGAGTTTGGTTCATTTGGTCTGATCTTTTATTTAGTATTTGCTTTACTGTTTATTATATGTACATTTATGTTTTCTGCCAGAAAGAGCTCAAAAAGAAATAACTGATTAGATGCATAATTACTTTTCTTAGACTGAAAATTGACTGTGCACTATGAATAGTGATGAACAGGTAGATACAGAAGGTAAACCTGTGGGCTCACCATGTCACATACTTTTTAATGGACTTAGTAAATGGAGTAGGACACAAACACAACACACAGCAGTTGTAACGGCTATTAAGTATTTGATTATTCAGGGAAAATCACCGCAGTCACATGCTGATGCACATACTATACATGTTTCCATGAATTACGTTTTAATAGATAAATAAATTATATTTACATTTTCACTGACAAAGGTCTCTCTTTTTAGGAAAGCGATGAATTGATGGAATGGTGGAACACAGTCAAAGGTCAGTATGAGTGTCCATCCATTGTTTATTGTACTGCTCCACCACTGATACCACACACACACACACACACACACACACACACACACATACGAGATAAAATAAATCAACACTAACACTTATAACCAAACACAATTTGATGTATTTGCTCCATGTACTGACTGTATTATCTCTGCTGCCGGTTTCCAGGTTGGGCAGAGTGGAACGAGACCTCAAATACGCAGGATGATGATGAGGAAACGTAAGCATAGTCTCTTTTCTTTTAATAACTTTTTAGTTAAAATAAATGTTGATAGTACTTTGGCATTGTGAGGGCATTTTTAAGGTAGCATGTTTGATTTCTGTTTTCTTATCCAGGATATCTATCAGACTCGTAGCAAACACGGTTACTATTGTTAGCTACTGTAGCTTGAAGGCTCGACTCATAATTGCCAAGTGTCAGTTTTAGCAAAAAATTGAATTAACTTAAATAAACTTGCATAAATTAATCATTTTATTAGTTAATTTATCCATCAATTTTCTGCTGCTCATCCAGATTCAGGTCATGTTCATATAATTAAATGTATTAATAATAATCATTGTTATACAGTGCTGGGAAGTACTGAAACAAATGTGATATAATAATTAATCATTCTGGGCCACATCGGTCCTACTGGTTTTCAGTCATACTATCGTACTTTTGTCCAGTAGGATCATGAAACAGGTAATAAATGGCATTCTGTGCTATTATGTGAGATCTTAAAAAGTTTTAATTTGTGACTTGGTGAGCCCTGCAGAAAGCCTGTTGTAACTTTGGGTTTGAACTGATAAGTGTAAATATTCTAAGCGCTCATATTTGCTGTGTCCACCTGCACAGTCTTGTGAGTTTCAAGCCTTCACAACTTTCATGTGTGTCTCCAGGGCAATGGAGCAGGCAGCTGATCGTGTCTACATGGCTGCCTGTCTGTTTGTGCGTCTGTTCAACCAGCGGGGGGCGTCTTTACAGCAACGCATCCTGGAACTTATGTCTCTGGCTGATGCTGCAGATGAATTCCACAAAAAAACGACGTCAGCCGCTGTGGGTGGAGGAGTGGCCAGTGTCGCAGGCAGCGTGGCAACAATCACCGGACTCATTCTGGCGCCTTTCACTTTCGGTGCCTCTATTATTGTCACGGCGGTGGGGATCGGTGTAGCAACAGCAGGCAGCATCACCTCAGCAACGGCAAATATCACAGATACAGTTCACTCCAACATGGATCGTAAGAAGTTGGAGAAGATGATCCAGGGCTACCAGGACGAGATCAAAGACATCAGGGAGTGTTTGGAGTTCGTGCAGGTGAGGAAATGTTTGAGTTTGTACTTAGAAATATAACGCAGGCTTTGCAGATTTAGCATTTTTAGCAACAGACTTCCTTGGTGAGTGAAGGAGCAATACAAGAGATCATTCCTGTCGGGTGCTGGTAGACTTCACAGCTCTGCTCTTTGCACATCCAGAACATTTAGAAATCACTTGAAAAATTAGGAAAGCATACTGTAATTTTTGACTAAATTTTTATTCATCTGTATTTGAATCTGTGTCTGTTTCAATGTCATTGCTGTTTAATATTTTTTTCATGTATTTGGCAACTATGATGTTGTAATTTACCTCCTGGGATTAATAAAGTCAACTATTAATCTATCAGAGGTGCCACAAATCTCTCAGTAGTAACTGCTGGGGACACTTTACAGGCCTAGTGAAGGCATAGCAAATGCTATGCAAAAACCCTAAAAGTTGACCAGAACTAGATTCCTTGAAACAATGTTGTTGCTTTTTAGATCAATCTTTCAGTTACTTTTTTGACTAGCGAAATTAGATGTGGTCAGTAAAATGCCAGAAAATTTAATAAATGGCCATCACAAGTGCGCAGACCTATGAAGCCCCTAAAGTCCCCAAGAATTTTTTTTTTCTTTTCTTTTCCACAAGACAATTACCTTGTGCACACAAGATAAGGAACAAGTTATTATTTTTTGTGCACAATTGAATTATTTAATTAGTTAGCATTTTATCTTATGTGCACAAGTTAAACAAAACAAAAGATATCATGTGATTATGAGTTATTATCTTGTGTACAGAAGATAAAAGGATCACCTTTCGAGGGGTTAGGGGCTCCAAACAAGCCCTAAATTCTCTTCAAATTATTTTGAGTATTATTTAGAATTAGATACAACTCAACTCAGAAATATTTCAGTTGAAAATTTATTTAGCAAAAATGATCATTGAATTCGTGAATGAGTCGGCCAATGTTGTAACAAGGATTGACTGTATGTTTGAGGTAATGTAGAAACAGCATCGCATCGTTAAGGTTATTTTTCAACTGGAAAACGTCAAACCGATTCAAGGGATCCCTATCCTGTATCCTGAAAATTTTCATTTGTTATGTGTTCATGTAAAAAACATCAGCCAATATTTAGAACTCTTATGTATCAACATTGTTATCAGCCTCAAAAATCCAATATCATTGGGCTGTGCTTAAGTTCAGTGTGGGAAGAGCTTAGTTATCTTAATAGTTAAACCAAGAGGTGTGTTCAGAATTTTAGAATATAGGTTATTTATTATATTACATTTGTTTATATTTGTTATAGGTTATTTTATCCTTTTTTCTGACAAAAGAGTGTGAAAAAGTATAAGTTTTAAATAAAGGGAAAACCTTCAACAATAGTAGTGTCCATGCAAAGTTATTTATTGAACAATATCTCATTTCTGAGACAGATCTTAAATTTTTTTGTCTCTGTGTCTCTTGTAGGCAGGTATGGACACCCTAGAGGGGTGGGACTTTGAGAAATATTCAGAGAGCGCTGCAAAAAAGGCTCTGAACCATAACCTCAAGCACGTGATGAAGGAGGGCGGCCGTGCCGGAAAAGCCCTGATGATTAACACAGATAAGCTCATCAGCACTGTGCAGGTTTTAGGTGCTGCAGGTGGCGTTGCCAAAGCTGCCCAGGCTATCAGTGTCACCACAGGCGTCATGTCAGCCCTCTTTCTCGCTCTGGATATTTTCTTCCTCGCCAAAGACTCCCACAAACTCCGTAAAGGCGCCAAAACTAAGTTCGCCACCAAGATCAGGGACGTATGTAAAGAACTTCAAGATGGCTTGCTGGAGCTGAACAAGGTGAAGACACAGCTGCAGAAGACTATGGATGGCATTGAGGTGGAGGAGTATGAGGAGATTGAGGAGGTGGAGGAGGAAGTTGACGACGATTTTGAGTCCGATCCAAAGAAGCTGGCTGAGCTGGAGAAGGAGCTGGACCTCCTGGAGGAAAAACTGGACAAGAAGGTTGAGGAGCAAATGAGGATTAAAGAAATGGAGAAGGAAAATATGAGAAGTAAAAAGGAGAAAAAGGAGGAGAGCATGAAGGAAAAAGGAGAGCCAGAGGAAAAGAAAGACAAAGAGGAAACAGAAGGGAAGGATGCTAAGACAGAGGGAAAGAAGGAAAGTAAAAAGGGAAAAGATGAAGAAGAAAGCAAGACTGATGAGGAAAAGGAGCAGAAAAGTGAGACTGTCAAAGCAGCCAAAGAGGAAGTTTTGAAAGGACAATCTCGAAAAGGGAACAAAGAGAATAAAGAAACTGAAAACCGCATTACAGCTGGGAAAGAAAAATATGAGAGCAAACGAGACCAGGCAAAAGAAGACAATGGTACACATAAAAAGACAGATGAGAAGGAGAAAGAGAAAAATAAAATGGGAAAAGAACAAGAGGAAATTAAGAATAGATTAGGTGATTTGAAACGAGAGGAACGAAGTGGGAAGGTATATTCTGAATGGATCAAGACAGAGAGAGAGAGTGAAAGGAATAAGAGCAGCAAAGAGGATGAAAGAGAGATGAAGCCTGAAGGGAGATCAACGAATAAAGAGAAAGAGGCAGATAGGGAGAGTACAAGGAGGCACAGCAGCAGGAGCGATAAAGATCAACCTGACAGGAGTGAGAGAGAAAGCAAACACATAACGAAAGAAACTGATAAGGAAAGAGGCGGCAGCAGGGACGTACAACACAGTGAGAGGATGGAGAGCTGGAGGAGGCCAGAGGAGGACAGAGGAGTTAGGGACTGGAGAGCTGAGATGGCAAAAGGTAGAGAAGAGAAGAGAGAAGGAAAAGAGACAGGGAGAGGGACTAAAAGGCAAGATCATGGGAAAAGCGACACGAGGAAGGAGTCGCATCGAAGTCACAAAGCGGCAACAAGGAGGGAGCATTCGGAAAGAGAGTGGGGGAGCAGGAGGGAGGAATCTGACTCAAAGAGGAGCCACCACAGGAGAGGAGCAGGTCAGCACGATGAGCACAGGGAGGTGGGAGATGAGAAACGAAGGAGCAGGATAGAGAGCGCAAGGAGGAGATTTGAGAGAGCAGGGGCAGAGGAGGGAGAGGAGAGGGGGAAGAGGAAAGAGGACCATGAGAGGAGAGGGGGTGACAGAGAGAGGAGGGGGAGTGACAGAGACAGAGAGCATCAACACAGCCACCGAGGATCTCGACCTCACTCCAAGGCCCCGCTGGAAGACGGTCTGTATATTTAGTTTAAAAAAAGTTATATGTGGCATTTTTAAACTTAGATACACTATTATCATGTGAAAGGTCAGATTTGTATTAAGACCAACTGAAATTAAGTTGCCAAAGAAATGTTCCTGCCGAGTTGAGTTTCTGCTACTAAAAATGTCTGATTATCAATTAATTCAGTCATGCTGGCTAGGCTATCAAGAGTCCAGTTTGTAAGATTTACTCCAAATATTATGTAAAGCAGAGGATGGAGAGTTTTTACAGGAGAGAGAGAGGGGAAAACCGGTAATGCTCATTAAGTCAAATCTGGTATGAGGAAGCCTTCATACTTTGGTTTTCTACTGCTACGTTCATATTACAGGGCTTAATACTCTCTGAAACATCTCAGTCAGGAGACACAGAGAGGCAGTTCTTCCAAACCTTAGCGTGCCCAGGGCTACATTCCAATGTATCTGTGGGTGCCTGATAACAACACTGTCATGGCATTTAGGCAAGATGTCCCTGTCAGAAAGCATTTAGCACTCGGGCTCTATTGGTGACTGGGGCAGCCTCCTGTTGCAGTGGTACAGCTTCTCTGGTCCCGCCGGACTATTTCAGCACCATATGGAGAGTGAGCTGTGCCTGCACAGTGAAGTATGATGTGGAAAAACACATGAATTCTGATGTGACCATTCTCACTTCAGTTGCATGGCCAGTGATCACATATGTCAGATTTAGGGCCACATATAAATGTAGCCCACATCTGATTGTGAAAAAAAAATAGATTTCTGTGTTCACATTGTTCTGTGTTACATGAGAGCAAAGAAATAAGGTTTGGGCCACATTTGCTTGTAATGTGAACGTAGCCTATCTCTTGTGTTTAAACTTTGTGTCGTTTGTGTGTAAAAACTGGGCTGTTGCATGTATGTGCAAAGTTGAGGCCGTATTTTTCACATAAACTAGTAAGAAACATAGTGAATTCAAGTTACACGTTGAAATGTTTTTAACTTCCTAAAAAGAGACTGACAGGAAAAGGCTGGGGACTGCTTGGTTGATGAACTACCAGCAACCACTAACTCTCTCAGTGTACACATGGGCATGTCAATGTTAATGCACATCTGCAGTTGCTAAGCAGAAAAACACTGAACCTCTCCTTTAATTGTGAGAGATAACAGGTAATAATACTGTTCCAGGTTCACTGCTCCTTGCTGAAAAGCAAAAGTTTTGGGTTTATCTCAACCAAAGAGAATAAAGACCTCGTGTGTAGAAATGTTATGTGATTATGACCTCTCTCTAAATAATTTTCCGATATTATGCTCAGACAAAAGTTGAGGAGGGCAATAAGCTGCATTTATCCATTACTGCAAAGGTGTCTTTTTGGATTTTCCCACAAGGGGGCGCCAAAGTCAGTAATATTCAAATCTTGTACATACAGAAACAGTCTGTGTTTTTACTACTGACAGAAATCTATAAAGCAGATTTCCTGCAAAATCTCACCTTGATGCAAATAATGTCAAATTTGAGGCTGCTACTATTGTTTATGACTTCTTTATTCATGTTGTGATAAACCTACCACGTTTAATTGTATATTTAAAATCTTAACGTGTTTCTGAAACATGGTGGTGTCTGCTACTTATTTATATTTCTGGTGTTTCAGGGTAAAATTAGACACTTTCCCCCTTAGTAGGACTGTTTATGTCCATATTGTGCCTTTCATATTGTGTTTGTATTGTATTGGCTGGTGGACCAGTGTTTTTATTTCCCTAAAAAGACCATTATTAGTGTGAACAGGAGAAAAACTACTTTTATTCATGCTGTTGTTATATTGCAGGTAGCACACTGGCTCTGGGAAATGTTACTGGATGGTAGAATAATATTGCAGTTTCTGTAATAAAATCATCTCATGTTTAGTTTTTTCTTAAACTTACCTGTTACTGACAATTTTCACTCTGTGCACTTTACAGTTTTTCTCAATTGTTTACACACAAATACTGGTACTTGAGACACAATGACCACAACATGTAACTCATGCACCAACCCCCTGAACCAATTCTGCTAAACTACAAGCACAATTCCTGCTTTACACTCAAATTGCAGTTCTAAAACACATTTTTTTTCAAAACACTACACACAATTCTCTGCATTTGGCACAATTTTCAGGAAGAAAAGCTCTTGTTTTCACAAAGAACACACTGTCATTCAAAATTCTAAAGTTAATTGCCCTACTATGCACACTGACTCATCAAATGGGAAAACACCTGTCACACAGTTTTACAATTAGCAATCAGAGCTTTAGCATAAAAGGGCAACAGGTGAGCTTTTCTGTTTTGGAGCAATGGATGCCAACATTGGAAA